CCCCGGGGCTCTCCCAGCCCAGGCCCGGCCGGCCGCGCTGTGCTCACAGCTCCCCATGCTGCACCAGGCCCCTCCCCGCGGCCCCCAGCCCCGCTCCAGGCCCCGCCCGCCCCCAGAAGGCTCTCTGGGACCTGCCGGCTCCCGCGGGACACCGTCACTGTGCCCGAACCCCTAGGTCCCCCCGCTTCGGCAGAGCGACGCAGCCCGGCCCTTGCTCCAGGCCCTGTTAAAGCCCCTTCCCTCAGACTCTGCCCCCACCCTCTGAGGGTGGCGGGGTCCCCCTCCTCCAGGGCGCCCCCCAGATCTCCCTTCCCTCCCCACCGGGGCCCTGGCCGGGCCTGGCACTGAGGCGGCCCTCAGGGCCCCAGCCGGCTCCGGGTCCTAGGGGGACTGACCGCGTCCTAGGGGAGTGACCACGCAGACTTCTTGCTCCCGGAGAGACACCGCCCACGGTCACTCGAGGGCACAGCGGTGTCCGGTGGCCTCTGTAGATTTCACAGGCGAAGCAGCAGGCAGGCTCAGGCCACGGGGCCCTCACGGGGCTCACTCCCCACGTCCAGCAGGGCGCCCTCCTGGGGGCCTCCTGCCCTCTTCCTGGGCCCCACTCCAACAAGGCAGAGCCGTGAGGCGCGCCCTTAGGGTCAGGGCGAAGCGGGAGGTTTCCATCCACTCTCCCGGCCGGAACCCCGGGCCACAGCACCCCCCAGCCGCGCCCCCCGGCGGTCAGGACAGGCTTCTCGGCTGGACCTCAGGGGACGGGAGCCAGGCCAGGTCGGGGGCTGGGAGGGGGCACTGACCGGGCAGCCCCTCCCGGGACCGCAGCCGCCTCATCTGTGAAATGGGATAACTCGCCCTCTTGGGTTGGTGGAGACAGCTAAAAGCCTGCGCCCCAGAGCTATCCCTCGCCTGTTGGGGTGACGGGGACACGGCTGTGCCACCAGGGGCTCCTGACCGTGGGGGAGGTGGCCACACTGAGCTGGTGGCTACTGGCGTCGCGGGGTTCACTGGGATGGGGGGCAGAGAGGCTGTGGCTTTGGCACGGCGGGAGTGGCAGCGGGGCCCGTGGGACCCTGGCACCTGCCCCAAGACAGAGGCCACTGCCCCACACGGGCAGTGCGGGCCGGGGCTCAGGCAGAGGGGGCAAGAGGGGCCGGCCGCTGAGGGCGCGTGGAGCATGGGGGCTCAAGCGCGTGGCTCCCTCGCCTTCACCCCCAGGCACCTAGGGGTGGGGGATGTCATCGGCCCTAATAAGGGGTCACGGGAAGGACTGACCACCTGGCCCAGCCAGCCGCTCCCTCCACCACCCCCGTCTTGAGGGTCGCATGCAGTGGGGGCCGGGTGTGGCGAGGTGGGCAAGCGCCTTCCTGGGCGGGCACTGGGCCTCGCAGTCCCCTGCTGTGGGCTGGGGAGAGGGCAGGGTGGGAGCGAGTGGGGTCCAGCTCCCGGCACCTGCACCGGAGCCCCTGACAAGTGGACAACTGGGGCTGACGCCGCCCACCCTCGGGGCCAGCCCTGGGGGCGGGAGACGGGCGGACCACACAGGCCAACCCACGGGCAGGGCCACCTTCATCCAGGCTCAGGCCCCTCTGGGCTGGGACACGGCCAGGCGGCCAGGGCCGCGTGGGGAGGGACGGGGGCTCCTCGGGGCGGCCGGCCGGCCCGGCCACTGCAGGTCAGAGGACGCGGATTGTTCTCTGCTCAATGGGGTTTTGTTGCCCAGGGGTTAGCAGGGCGCTTCCTTCCAATCTGGTTTGGAGACAGTGTCCAGAGCTCCCAGCAGCCACTCTGGGCCGGGGGAGATGAATAACTCCTTCTCGTTGCCCAAATAAGGGGCCCAGTAAGCGTTTCGGGCACCCAGGAGCCGGTTTACCCCCCACCCCCACACGTCACTGGAGGCGGCAGGCCCGAAGCTCGCCTGGCAGGGCCATGACCCCACGCGCCGGCGGGCCGGGACCCCAGACCACACGGCCCCCAGCGCAAGGTCCACCCGGCCCCGGAGGGCCGGCCTCTGCTGTCCCCAGCCTCGCAACCCGGTCCTCCCCTCCCGCCTGTCAACAGCGAGGCTGCACTGGGGTATTCTTCTGGGGGCCCAGGAATCTGATCAGCAATCACGAGGATGTCGGAGGAAGGACCCCCACCCGGGGCTGGTTTGCACCCACAGACGGCCCGGTTCCCAGGCGTCTGGCCGTGAGGCTGGGGGAGTCCAGGAAAGGGGAGTGTGGGCCCCCACTCACGCGCCCAGCGCCCTGTCCCGGAGACCTGCCCAGGACAGCCACGCTGCCAGAGACAGGGGACGAACACCAGGGGTGGGCAGGAAGCGTCTATGCAGCCTGACGGGGCCTGGCGGTGGCCAGGGCGTTGCCTCGGGGCGCCCGCGGGCCAGGACCAGCAGGGGACGCAGAGGGGCAGGCCCAGAGAGAGCCCAGGAAGACTGGGGCCGGCTCAGCGGCGTGCGGACAGGTGCTCGCTGGTTCGGGTGTGGGTGTGCAAAGTGCTGTTTCGGGTGTGGGGCACAGTGGTCCCTGGGCAGACCGGCCCTCCAGAGCACAGGGGCACCCGACAGCCCTCGGGCCCCGGGCACAGGCGCCCCGACAGCCCGGTGCCGTCCACGGCCGTCCCCACAGGTGGCCTGGCGCCTTAGTCTTTTGGGGGTGTCACCACATAAATGTGGTATCCAGGGCAGTGGCTCTGTGGGGGCAGGGGGCGTGATGGGCCTGTCACGTGGTCTCCACAGAAGGGTGACAGAGACCAGTTCTCGGAGCTGGGTGGACGATGACCGGCAAGAGGCCACTCCCCAGGTCCCCTCACAGCTCCCCGCGTCTGCCTTCGGCCACCAGAGCAGCCGCTTCGGCATCA